ATTAATCCCATTCAATACTCTTTATGGTTTTTTGTCTTTTTGTTTTTGATCACTACACGATAGTTAATTAGTTATCACAGAATCAGAAAAACACTTATCTAAAAGGAGAGATCTGGAGACCAGTGGTTTCTAGGATTGGACATCTGTAAAGAACTTATTTTAATTTTTCTGAAAAGAATCTGTACACACTTGTAGCTAATTAATGATTTTCCCTTCTATTTAGTACCCAAAGTTTTGTTTTTTTGAAATGGCTGTGTCATGAGTGAACCAAAAGATTTTAATGGGTGGGCTATGTCTTAATTTTTATGAAGTCTAGCTTTATTATTATGTCTTTGTTTTATACCTCTTTTGATTATTTTTTCTGCCAGGTGTTTAAGACCAAGTTAAAGTGAGACCTGTATCAATCAATATGAACCTCTTGTTATCTATTAAGGTCAGTTAAGTCTCCCCAGGCCATTACTTTGGAACCATGCATAGTGCCTCTCTGCTTTTCTGTCAGTGTCAGCCATCAGGATGGGTCATGGCCTTGCTTGACCAAGTTTCTTTCAGTGAAAGTATTGGAGATTTTTTTCTTGGTGACCCTCCTTTGGCACACAGTACATTGTCCTCTGGTGTCCAGTAATCTCCCAGTTTAGGAGGTTGAGTGACTTACCAAGATGTAGGACCCTGTAGAGAAGGTTCCCTCATGTTCTGGAACTTTGTTGACCTTGAGGGGCCAGGGCCAAAATATTGGCTGTCCTCATAGCCCAGTTACCTTTTAGTTTTGGTCTCCAAACTTTAGTTGTTGAACACCCAGAAGAGAAGGTCAATAGTGTTAGGATTGTCACAAGAGTAATGAACTTAACTGTTATAGTTTTACCTGAATAACAAGCATTTTGGAATTTAAAATATAGAGAACTATTACTGTTATCAGTCATGGTTGTTTTTTAGTAGTTGAATTCTTGTAGAATATTAACAGAAAAAGAGCCACAAATATTTTGACATGACAATTATGATGACTTTACCTTTGTAACACATTTAAATGGCCATCTTGATATAAAATAGCCATTGTTAAAAGTACTCATTTTTTAAAAACACCAAAAGTTTTTATCTAAATTATCTTTTTAATACATAAATAAATAAATAAATTATCTTTTGATAGGATACCATCTAAAGAAAATATCTCAGCCTATATAGTATCTGTTGTCATAAATAGCTGGAGTGTATGAAAAGGCAAATACCTGAATCAAAGAGAGGTTATTATCATAAACAAATATTAGAAAACCTGTACAGACAGAAAGTACAAATACATTTAGTTCACTAGAAAAAATAAAACCTTGTTATTGTTGTTTTTTTACAGGATATTTAGTTCTTTGAAAATGACCAGTGTAAGCACACCATAATAACATATTTAGAATTTATCCCTTTGATGACAATTGATATAAACAGTATAATAATATATTTAAGTACTATTTACTGATATAAGTCTTTTATAAGGCTATGAAAACTATTGGGTCAGTCTGTTGTAAGATGAAAACTGTTGAGGTCCCCCTACTGAACAAAGACTGGAAAATATTTCCATGCGGCTGCTCCTTTGTTCACCAAGGGGAGCATGCCTTGAACTTAATAACCTTTAACTATAAACAAAACAGCTGTATGATTGGACAAAAAACAAAGATATAAGACAATTTATAAAACTAGAGTGCACTCAAATATATTTAGCCCAATAGAATTAAAATATCTTTATAATTTTAGGTTTAGAATTATAAATAAGACTATTTAAAACTTTTTGTAAGTCAATTAACAGAGATCTCTTATAGAATTAGAATCAGAACAAATGAAAACTCTATTCCTGTAGACCTTTATAACAAACTTAAAACCAATAAGCAAACATATATATTTCCTTTATAAATCACTTCCACACACCTTCCTGACATACCTAGGCCTTTTGGTCTTCTCCTTTTAACCAGACATATAAAATCCTTTTATATCAAAAATATATCTTTTACTTATAGCTTTTTAAATATTTTGTCTCTGACTCACTATAAACCTTTTATGAGACAGAGAGTCATATGGTCTCTGTGGCCTCTATCTGCCTAGCCTAGCTGAGAGTCCTATTGTGGGAAATTTTTTGATACAGACATCAGGATTAGAGAAGAAGGAGCCTAAGCATTTTTTAATTTGAGAAAGATCAAAGAAAGAGAACAGCACATGTACTCTAACAATGCCCTCGGTCCCAGCAACCTCTCAGAGAGGCATCTGTGTGGGTGGGGCCCATGTGGGAAGGGTGGGTAGTGAGAATGGGTTCGGGGAGATGGTGGGGATGGGGGAGGAGAAGGTAAAGGAGGATCACAAGATGGCGGAGGAGGAGGATCACAAGATGGTGGAGAAGGGCCATGTGGTGAGGTGGAAGGAGACAAAGGAGAAGTATAAGATGGCGGGGGAGAAGAAGCACAGGACAAGCAGAAGGGTTTAGAGGGTTATAAGGTGGGAGAAGTGTGAGTGGTGAGTGATCAGCTGGATCGAATGTCTTGGAATCAGAAGGAGTGGAATTGGGAAAGGTGAGCAGCAAAGCTCAGGGTAGGAGCACTTGAGAAGGAGAACAGGTTTGACAGAAGGAGGGTCAAGAGTATAGGTAGAAAAAAGGCTTGTACATAAGGGATTTCTGACCATTTGCCATTGTGTTGACAGAAGTTGTGTAAGTCACAAAGTATGTTAAAATCAAAAGTGCCATTTTTGGGCCATGGAACCCCATTATCTAATTTATACTGAAGCCAAACCTGATTACAATAGAAAACAAGTCTTTTCAGCTTAAAGTCTGGTCCCCAAAATCGGAGGGATTTGAGTTGTGCCAGGAGGCAGCCCAGAGGCATTGAGGAAGGGGGTTTGGATTGTTGGGCCCCCATGTTAGAGTGGGTGAGGAGGAGGCAGCTCCTAGGGAGAAGGACAAAGGGGAGAAGCATCCTTGTCTCCTTTGACAATCTCTGAGTGAGTTTCCCAGAGGGAGAGAGAACAAGACAGAGAACCCGACGAGAGGGAGGCTGAACTCCCTACTCACCCAGACATTGGTGACCAGTGTGGATGTGTAGCGTCAGCAATGGCAAAGGTAGAAAGCCCCGGAGGGTCTTGGCAATGGCAGACATGGTCCGATGGAGATGGCCTAAAGGTCAATCAGTCCCATCCTGTGGTGGATCGTCCATTAATGGACCATCTACCATCTGAGTCATGGCACCAGAAAGGTCAGGTAAAAGGGCCAAAAACCAAGACCAGACCAGGCCACAACAAGCCTTTATTAGGGGAATAGATCTGCCGGGCTGTCTCTGAACAAAGGAGAGACAAAAGCCTGTAGGGTTATTTTATGGCTAAAAGTGTGTGCCCAAGAAGTCATGGCAACCTCAAGGAGAATATAGTAATATCTTTCATCTTAGAAACATGCTTAGATAGTTTCACTCTAGGATATTCAGGTAGGCTTATTTTAGAGGAGATTGTGATTTCAAATGCAATTACTAAAACATGTAAGTACTAACATCAACAATTATTAAACCCATGTAACTAGTTGGGATCATATAGAGAAAGAATTTTGAGAAAAGAGGATAAGGATTCTGAAAGACCTACAGTTGATAAGCAGATCAAAGAAATATGATCCTAAAAGATAAAAAGTCTTATTCATTATACAATCACCATCTTGATTTTATACTATTGTGGTCCCTGAGGTCTCACTTCCTTTGCAAACCATGTTCTTGGGACTAATGACTTCATTCAGTCCCTGAGGCACTGAGTGCCTCCTACATGTTGTATTATGATGTGAGAGTACAGAATGTGAGGATCCTGTCTCAAGGAGCATAAAATTCAATGGTAAAAGAAGGGTTGAGCAGTTGCTACCTTTTCTACTAATGAGTCTAATATGTATTATCATTCAATAAAAAAATAAATGCTTCCACAAGGGCCACAGTTTCAGAAGTTTTTCAAGTTTTGACAATCTACTAAACTAAAGCTATGTCACAATTATACATCACTAGCCTTTGGTGGAAAAAAATGGAACCTTAACCAATAAGGTAAGATTTATGGGCAGGACCAAAAAACCAAAATTGTAAAATTTTGTAAAGGAAAGTTTGTGTTTATTTTTTCTACACCACTATGCTCTTAATGTTGTGCCCTCCCAAATTCATATATTGAAACCTAAGATTTACTGCAACAGTAAATATTAACTGATTCGGACATATGCTATTTCCCTACAACCTCACTTTCACTCTCTGATGTCACTTCAGTGGATTTGAGTTCCCTTGTGGCTTCCTGGAGAATTCTGTCAATAGGAAGCATGGCCAGGTGTGTGAACTACATGGCTGCCATCAGAACCCATGCTCTGTCTCCAGTCCTTAATGGATATACTATTTTTAAATGGTAATAGATGGTAATGATAATTAGAAAATTAAGTTCTTCCCAAAAAGCACATTACTGCTATTTAGTTTGTTCCCTACAAAATTCTCCAACAAAAGCATAATATTTATGCTAAATGTTGCTGAGTAAATTATTTTGGGCATTTTTTACATCTTTCAAATCATGTCACATTTACTTATTCATACCACATTCATGGATTTCATAACACTGATGAAAATCAAGCATCTGCCAGGTCTCATACTAAGGCACACAGAGCTGTGTCATAGACTACCCTTGATTTATACACTTACTATTCAGATGAAAGGCTTTTGTAATGAAAACGTAACTCAATAAAGTGTTATTATTTATGAATACCTAAGTAAATTCAGCATGGTCTCAGTTTATTTTTAATCTGTTTGTAAAAGTTACTTATAACTTACTATAAATGTTCATATCTGTGAATCATTTGCTTCATGCATTTAAATCCTAGTATTTAAAAGTAGCTCATTATTCTGCATATTTGTAAAAAAAATTATCTGAAACAAATCAGCAATATTGAACCAAATCAGATTTATTCTACAAAAGCATTCTTTTCTTCATTGTTTGCTTATGTGGTCTAGAAAATAGAGAAAAAATTGGTAGTCTCACAGTTGATCAGAGGAAAACAATCACACTGTACAGACATGTATTTTTTATTATGATAAATAGGGAAAACCTGTAAACTTCACAGCATATTAAATAATATGCTGTAAATAACAACTGCAAACAGTTGGAAGTACTTAATATTTGAAAAACTATGTACATATTAATTCTTATCAAAGGAAGCCCAAAAGATGTCAATTTGAAATTATTAATGACATTTTTTGTGGTGCCCAAACTCAATTTCATATTTTTTCAGCATCTAGATTTTATACTGACTTAGAATCAAATGAGTAAACTCTAATGTCTTCTTCAGATCAGCAAAGAAAAGAAGTTCTTCATATTTATTTCTCAGAAGCAGCTAGGCTTACTTCCTAAATCATTTAGGGTGAGGCTAGAATATCTGTGATAACTGCAGAGTTTCAAAACAAAAAAAAGATTCTTAGGCTGCTTCTGCATTCTCATTGCCAGTAAACCAGAATGCATAATTCCCAGCTGGGCCATGAATCAGATTTCTAGAAATGAGGGTGGGTAGAAAATCAATAAAATTAAAGGCCAGGGAGGAAAACCCAGTAGAAATGCTAAGAATAGGAATCAAGGTCATGATCCAGATGTCTAAGAAGGATCAAGTCACCAGTATCATCTGCTGATCAATATTAGGAAGAAATAAACTCAAAGAAAACATCATATAATTGTAATTAAACAAATATATTCACTCCTGATGTTTCTTTAATGCTGCAGGGACTATGGTAACAGAAATTGATTGGATTTTCAAGGGCAAGAGACTTTGCCACTAAATAAGATAATGTCATTCTTTCTGATGACAAATAGGAATGGGTGATCAGCTTTAAATACTGTGGACTCAGGAAGATGCTTTTCTACAATGTTACTTTCAGTGGCTGCAGTTGCCTGGGTGCCCTCCTCTGTGACCTCTATATACGATTTGTGCATTAGCTTTGATATATAGAGACGACCTCCAGAAGCTATTCCAGAGAGATCAGCTCTGGACTCATCAAAGATATCTTTCAGCCCTAGGGCTTCCAAATGGTGTTTCATTTCATAATTCTTCTCTATCTTGAACTTAGGAAGAAACACCTCCACAAATTGAGAGTTCATTTTTCTTGGATTGGTCCATTTCATTAGATTCCTAAATGTCAGGCTTTTTTCAATCTGTAGGAATAATTAAAAATACTTTAGAATCACATGGTAAAGAAAAAGAAGCAACAACTACAAAAAGATTTTTACATTTAAGTACATGACTGGGTCCTGAGGCAGTTTGGAAAGAGAAAATGATTTAAATAAATAGTTTAAGTGCTTTTTAACAAACCACATGTTTAATTTTCTCTGCTAGGACAAGGTGTGGCTTGTTTGCACTGCAGGGCCTATCTGTTCTCTGCCCACATAGGAACAATAGGTAGGTGAAAGAATATAGAAATCCAAAAATGGTCACGGGGTGGGGGGGAGTCAGCAGTTGTTTAAATCAGTGTTTTCTGACCATTGTTCTGATATGAAGACACAGGGGAAAAAAAGTTTAACAGCTTACACAAGTAAGCCAATAAAAGCCGGGAGGGTCCAGGCAAAAACTCCAGAGCCCCATTACTGGAAGCTTAGGAGATCAGTATCTCTCAGCACAGTCACTCACATTGGCAGGCTGGGATCCAAGTCAGTTTTCCTACTCAACACCTGACACAGTGAAGCTCAGCAGGGAGTCGGGAGGTGAGCCCAGGGTGCAGAACAAGCAACCTAAGTTATGCAGTTAGGTGCCCATATCTCTCTCCATCACTATGGCCACTACCAAAAGATTCACAAATTGAATCTGCCAGCTTTTGAATATTGAGAATTGATCATAGTTTTTTCTAGATTTAGAATGGGAAGATTTTTTTATGATCATTGTTTCCAAATCTTGTATCTAGACATTTCTTCTCAAATCTAGAATTATTGGAATTCTTTCTCGTCTTTTCATATATATTAAACTCTACTTGTATTTCTATCAAGGACTTAAATTTATACAAACAATGTGTTTGAATTTTCTGTGTGTAAATTTTCCAGTTTGTGGCTAACCTATAAGAACTTTCTATTGGGAATTGGATTTTTTCCCATTCAGCCCACTGCAATGCCAACTTTCTCATAATTATCCAGTAATGCAGGATTATGTAAGTATTTAACCTTAGAAAGTAAGTAAATTTATACTAATCTAATTTGTATATTATTAGCTAAATCTATTATAGTAAAGAAAACTCAAACAATAAATGCAAGAGTGAGCTATCTTGTGAGCTATCTACTACTGCTTACTTTTCCTTGGGCTGCTTTATTAATATAATCACTTTAAGTTAAAATGAATGATATTTGCTAAAATCTGTTAAGAAGATTATAAAGTAAATTATCGATCAAACAGGAGTACCAATATCTTATAGCCACACATTAGATTTAACAGTGCCAGGTGTATGATAATTTTCCCTCTGCTCTTTTTTTAAAAAGGCTATTAAGATGAAAGCCTAATGAGAGAAAGCCATTACACAGATACAGTGTTCTATGTAGAAACTAAATTTCTGAAGCTTTAAAAAGTCAATCTATAGCATCTATAATGGTATATTAGTAGGTATTTCTTAAATATTTGTCCAACATGTAAATGGGTAAGTAACTAATATCTTAACAATCTGAAATGTCAACATTAATAGATAAAAATATGATCAAGAGTATCCTTACTATCTTCTTATTTCCTAATATCAGAAGGGACAGGAACTTACTTGGGACAGGTCTCTTTCAGGCAACAGAACGTACATGCTTATGCCACCATGATATCTGAGCTGAAGCACCTGCATGGAAGGATCCTGAATTGTGGTCAGATTGAACCTCCGTTCTTGGTGCATCATGGGAACAGCTTGCTTAGAACACTGCAAGTAAAGTCATAAAAGGTTATTATAATGCCACTTCTTTTTGGGTTTTGGCCGAGTACACACAACAATATTGTATTGGTACAGTCTATACTGTAGTTTTTTCTGACATGTTGCCAATACTGGTTGGATTAGTGAACATCTTAATGGTAAGAGCACAGATTTTGAGTTTATACCTGAGTTTAAAAATTTTAAACTATGTGACCTAAGGGTAAGTAACCTCACCTCTGTCTCTCTCTGTATTCTCAGCTATATAAAGGAGATGACAATAATCCCCGTTGTTTAGGTTTGCCAGGATTATGCGAGGCAATATGTTTAGAAGTAGAAACATTGTCTTCTTAACTTTTTAACTGAAAATGTCTATACAATAATTAATAAATAACTACTAAACAATATGAAAAACGAATGCCACAGTTTTTTCTCTTACCAAAATTAAAATACAAATTAATACCATCAAAATTATACAACTTAAGAATGAAGTCTGGAATAATTAAAAATTTCTGCAAGATATTTGGTAGTATTCTTTCAATCAACTTGAAAAAACTCAGCAGCTCTTTGCTTGGGGATAGCATGTATTGATTTAAAAACACCATAGAGGTGCAATAAACTGTCTCTTTCCTATTTATGTTATGATCTACTAACTTGTCAATATTTCTCCAATATCCCCTTTTAGAACAAAAGGTTCTACGTGGGAGAAGAGATAATTCTCTGTCCTTGAAGCAAATATCCTTTTCCCTCTGGAAAAGCTCTGACTTAGAGACTAATTCTCAGAAAGAAAAGATATAGAAAAATGAAGAAAAAGCACACACTTGCCCAAGGAGATAGGTAAGATGGCATGAGCCTGGCTCAAGGGGGGCTGGAATGTCATAATCACAATGCTTCATGTCTATATGAGGCAGGGGAAGAATCACATGCTCCAGGGGTGATTTCATAATGTTTAATGTGATGGAAACAGCACTAATATCAGTGTTTGAGGTTCCAAAGTCTATTCCATTATAAATTATGTATTATAGTAATGTTATACAGGGTGTGCAGCCTTCCCAGAAGAGAGTGTAAAACAGGTTATTATGGGATATTACTTGGTAAAATAAAACTTCAAAAGCAGGGGGGAAAACAAATAAAACAAAGCCCCAATCCAGGAATGAGAAATATTTTTTGCTTTTGTCTTCATTATTGGAAATGAGACGACAACTACAGTTTATCATGGAGAAGTTGAAGGAAGAGGTAGGAAATAAAATCTCACTTCAAAACCATGTCAGTCTCAGTCATTGAGATTTTAGCACTACCTAGTACACTTCTTATTTTTCTAGTACTACTTAGTGTGTTTCTTATAGATAAAACCTGTATAAGGCGAGCTGTATTTTATTAGGATTTATTATATTATTTTTCATACATAATTTTCAAAATATTTCTGTGTCCATCCCTTTCTTTCTGCAGAGATGCCTACATCATGAATTTGCTCCCCCAGATTCTGACTCAGGACCCTCCAGTGGTGGATACACAGATCAGCTGACTTGCAGTCCCTGCAGGCTGCCAGAAACAAATCAGCACAGCAAGCCTGGTATGCATCCTAGTTCCAGTCTTGGTTTCATTAAGTCTCTTCTTGCAACTCCAAAAGAGTTACCATACCTGCAGATGAGGCCCACCTGTGTCATCTTTTGTTTCCCATCTTCTGAGTCATTTGGTGATCTCTAATTGCTATCAGCACTCAGAATTTCTGTGTCTACAACCTCTGGTATGGGCGAGTGTAGACTGAACATTTTAATATTTGAAAATAAAGCTAAATTTTAAAGTTAAATTTCAATTGTACTGTCTCAACATAAAAGGCTGATTAAAAAGAAGTTTAGACATCATCTATTCAAATCAGTTTGTTTTGCATGTGAAGAAGAGGAGATCTATAGAGGTTAACTGGCCTCAGATGACTGGGTTCCTATGAAGCTAGACAGGGATGCCAATTTGATATATCTGACATTTCTACTATACTAAGACTTACATGCACATTGGTATAAAAAGAAGAAAAAAATAAGAGGACATATTTTATGAAAGTTGACAAAAAGATGTTTTATATTTTTAAAATGAAGAAATAAATATATTTGGAAATGCATAACTTTATTAAATATAACTTTTCCTCATATAAAAAGAAATACAACCTTGCTTTGACTCAGGAAAATTATTGATGGTGATTTTAAATATAAATCCACAGTCAAAATTATAAAAATAACAGATGCATTTTTAATCATGTTTTCTATGTATATGGATCCAACTAGAATATCTTAACATAAGTTCATTCTTTAATACTTCTTTTAATTTTAAGTATATATTAAGAAATATTTAGGAAATATCAATTTATGGACTAGACCTCTTCGGTTGTGTTTTATAACCTGCATTAGCATTGCCTTATAAATCAACTGCTCATATAATATTGGCAATGCAGAAAATGGATAAAGAAGTGGTGAAACTACCATTTATTTATTGAAATACCACAATTTCCTGCAAAGAAACACTACTGGGAAAAGTTCCCTAAATGATATCAGAGATGTACATACCTTGGGTGATTTGAAACGGCACTTTATAGTTTCACTTTGGGTGAAAGCTGATTTCCATTTGCCTTTGAAGTATACGGCATTCACCAGCACCATGACAGCCGATGAGCTAATGCTACTATCACTAAACACCTTTTTTATTTTGCCTTTTGAAAAATTTGTAGAGGAAAGACATGTTAGATCATTAATGGTCACGATGGGTTTTTTTTACAAAATAATAATAATTATAATAACAATTCTGGTGACATTAATAACCTATGAGCAATTAGTATGTCTGGCACTTTCTAAAACCTTTAAGTACAATATTCAATTTAATCCTCATAAAATCTCTGGGAGGTAAGCACTGTTATTGTTTCTGCTTTCTGGTGAAGAAGTTGAGGCACAGAAGAATTAAGTAATTTATATAAAATCACACAATGATAATGCCACAACAGTAGGATTCTAGTCAAGAAAGCAACCTCAGGAGTCCCTGCTCATAGCAAAAGCACCAGATGCTTTTACTGCTCTGACGAGGTCACCTCTAGTCACTGTGCTACTCCAAGTATAAATTAGCCCCATTTGTTTGAAAATGCTAATTTTTTCCTTCCTTCTTTCCACATTAATGAGTTTCTGCTAGAAATTTTTAACCCATTCTTGGTAGTAGAATAGCAACAACACTGGGCTCACATTCTGGCTCAACAGAGGCAACTAAAAAAGCAGTTGTGACACACTAGGACCATCTCTATGTGATATGTGTTCGATGGGGCACAGGTTAGGAACAACTAACTGTGGATGGGGCTGTCTGCTTGAGGTAAGGGCAATGTGAGGTGGGGGGAGCAATGATCTTTCTTAAATCAGAGAGTTGTTTATTCAAAGTTAGCGAAGTGAATCTGGGGAAACTGACTCATTCCTCTGCATTAGGGAGAGTACAGTTAGATAGGTCGGAGGCAGGGCCCAGGTGATGAAGAGCCTTGAATGTCTGGTAAGAATTTCATATTATCCTGAAAATGATGGCAAGTGATTGTTCAGATTTCACTGAAAGTGAAGGAATGGCATGTCATGATGGCTCAGATTTTTCTTTCAAAAGGATGGCTATGATATTATGTAGATGAGGGAGCAGTAACTGTGATCTACATGTTTAGAATATTGACAACAATGTGAAGTTATTTTCCTCAAATAAATATTGAATGCACATGCTTATCAAAATTATTGGGGTGGGGATTTAGCTCAGTGCTTTTGCCGCCTGCTGCGCAAGTGCAGGGACCCGAGTTCGATCCCCAATACCAAAAAAAATAAAAACAAAAATAAGATAAAATAAAGTGCACGCATTTGTATTCTCCATATTTAAAAAAAATTATTGTAATCATACACATATATGAATGACAAAAGAAGAGAAATAAATATTCCAAATTGAAAAAGATATTAGTAATCTGATACCCTTAAATATTAAATGTTACACAGAATACCATTCGGTTACTAAACAAGTAGCAATTACATAGCTTCTCTTAATTTATAAATGCTATAATTTGAAACTTTCAATGGTTAAAGATCAAAGCAACCACTACTGATATAAGGATGCATAAATGAACAAAAAGAAAATTAAGATATTGTATTTTTAGTCCCAGAACTAACTGTACACTGGTTGATGTTTCCATTTAAGAATGTATGTTACCTGTCTCATGTTTCTGAGGTGAAGACAGATTCAACAAAAGCACATATAATGTTGAGGGTACAAATTGTAGCCAATCCTTAGGCAAAGATGTAATTACTAACTCAGAGATGGGTTGATTAACAAAACAAAGGATGGGTGATTTTCCATGTTTTAAAGTACTGAAATATACATGTACTAACTTAATGTACTAAATCATAATATTGACTAGAATTTAGTTTTTAATTATGAAAGAGTCTTATCAATGAAGAGCTCAACATTTTCAAGAAGGTCTACCTTTGCCCAAAATGTTTTTTTAACACATGAAATTTTTAAAAAGATAAGCTGTATATCTTTTAGAAAAAGCAATGAAATGAAAATTAATTTCTTTGACAGTAGGATGTTATACCTGTAAGATTCAGACCAAGAAGAAGCAGTAAAATGAAAATTAACCCAATCCTAACAAAATGGATTAACCATTAGAATAAAATATTGTGTATGGTTATTGAAAATAATGTCTTATAAACAACTCTTAGATTTGTTCTCTTAATGAGGGTGAGATATTGTGGTTAATTTGGGAAATTACCTCAGCTTGTTATTTATTTATGAAATGATCATAATGTGTGTTTGATTTGGGATTAGTGGGAGCTATTCTTTATTGTAGAAAGAGTCTTGCATAAAGTTATTAATATTCAATTTACCTAACAAATCTTGTAGAAAAGTAGGGTATTGCACTCACCATGTGTCACATTTTTAATCCACTTATTAATTCTATATGTAGTATCTTCTATATCATTTGTAAAATCAACTCGGTCCACTTTGGCCTCGTACAATTTTTCAGCACACTCAATATACTTCTATAAATAAGAATGCAGTTCTATAAAATTCTTATATTTACAAGTTAACACAAACTGAACATATAAGAAATGTATTTGTGAACTTGTCTCAACTTCTACTGCTTTATTGAATAATTAAATTCAAATATGCCTCAAAAATGAGTACATATAGCTGGAAACATAGAAAAGTGCTTGAAAGGGGATCCGGCAAACTTGAAGTTGAATTTGTATAGCAAACACTCTTTTAGCTTAACTTTATCTGAAATGGATTGGAAGAAGCTAATAGAGACTATGGCCAAAACCCACATCTTGGTTTTACCACTGCTCTCTCATCCTAAATATCCCAATGACCTCTTAACTAGCCATTTTCTGCTGAAAATCTTTAAAGGGTACTTAATGCACATAAGATAAAGCCCAGACTTTTGAGCCTAACCTACCAGACTCTACTGATATACATCCTGTTTACCTCATTTTAGTCACTTTCCCCTTCATACTCTGTTCCTTACAGTTCCTCAAAAGTGCCATCCACATATTCTCTCTCTTGAGGCTTTAAACAACATTCCTTCTGCCTGCATTGTCCCACATTTCTCATTATTTTCTTGTCCACCTTTCAAGCATAGGTCCCTACCATATCTTATAACAGTGTCTACCTTTATTTTTTCTGTTTTTTTAAGGCATAATATCTCTACACCTTTATAGGTACATTATAATAAGCTGATGCATGTATATAATGCAGCATTAGTATTTTCATTTCTTCCAATTTTAATCACAGCTGTTATCTTAATAAAATTTTCATAATTTGACATTTTCTGAGGTCTTTACAAGACAACAAATTCTGCAAAACCAGGAACATTTACACCTTGCTTATTACTGTATTCCTAATATCATATGCAACACAGTGCTTTGTACATAATAGATGCTCAAAAAATAGTTGTTGTTTTTAGTGCTGGAAGATAACATAAGGGAAACTCTGGAATGCAAGGCACAGGCCAAGACTTCCTGAATAGAACTCAAATAACACAGGAAAAAGAATCAAGAATCAACACATTGGACTACACATCAAAGGAATAAACAGAGTGAAGAGAAAACCTACAGAATGAGAAAAAAATTTTGCCAGCTACTCTTCTGATAAAGGACTAATATGTAGAACACATGAAGAAGTAAAAATATTAATTCTTCCAAACAACTGATCCAATTAACAAAATGGGCAAATGAACTGAATAGAGACTTCTTCAAACAAATCTACAATAAGAATATGAAAAGGTTTTGCCATTAGGGAAATACAAATCAAAACAACTTTGAGATTCTAGTCAGAATGGACATTGTCAAGAACACATACACACAAAATAAACGTCAATACCTTAGACATCATCTAGCTTTGTACGGATCTGAAGGAGTGAAAAATATTACATTTAAAATTGAAAGTAGCTTTAGAATATCTAACTGTACTTGGAAATATTTTGGAAGTAAAATGGGTAGTGTCTCCATTTTCCATGTTGTTGACCAAATTTTACCCTTAGTGTGTTTCTAGGCTTCTAACTACACTGCTTTTTACATATTATGAGTACCAGAAAAAAAAGTAGAGAAATCTGCTATAAGTAGTAGCATGATAGACAAATCACTTCCCAGTGAAAGTGTCAGCCATCCCTCAAGGACACAGCAGTGTGCATGGAAACAGAGAAACCGGATCAAATGTGATGAATATATAGCATGGTCCTTATAAAACTTGTGTAGAAATCTTGCAGGAAGGCTCAAAAACAAAGTGACTGAATGCTTCGTAATTGCCATGATACCAAAGGATTTGGGAGTGGTGCAGGGGAAGGGCAAAGAATTTGAGTGGGTGACAGATGGAGGGGTGGGACACAGAGCTGCCAGAGATGCATGTAGAGATTAGCTCAGCGATGTCACTGAGGCAGTGTTATAGATAGTTGTCTGAGAAGTGGAGAATTAAAAGGGAGAGGAAATATGTCCAGATAAACACGGGCACTGTATCTGGTTAATGGCCCTAACCAGGTAAGCAGCTTCTGGTAGTCATAGCAGATGTTGCAAATCATTGGTGGGTTGAACATAACAGCATGGAAAATGCATTCTTTGCCTCAGTTGTTTTTGGGTAGATAGGACAATACCATGAATGCACTGATGTCAACATTATATAAAATATTTGTCTGCTGAACCCCTTTTCCCACCTGTGTTAGGGCTGAGTTTCTCCTCTGCCAATGACTGGCTTTATCTGACCATATTTCCAAAAAGCGATTCATTTATAAACTATCTCATTGAAAAGATAAGGAAACAACTGCTGAAAGGAGAAATGAAAATCAAGCCTTGAGAGAAAAAGAGGTGAAGATAGAGAACTCACACCAGGATACCAAACTGTCTAAGTATGAAGCCTAAAGGCAACACTGATAGATGTTTTCTGACTGTCTCAGCCCACCCTACCCACCTCAGTTTCAGTTCCCAGACACCTTGCTTGAAAAACAATGCTAGCTCTGCTAGGACATGACACACCCACCCCACCTGATAGGTCACATGGCCTGTTGCTATAGACACACACTCAGCCATTCTCACTCCCCCAATTTCACACCCTCCCCCTTCTCCACCTAAGCCTGTCCCACTAATCCCATTACCCTATCCATAAGAGACCCAGCTCAATAAACTGAACTTGGACTCTCCTTTGGAGTTATACCAAAAGGTCCCACCCGGAACTCCCAATTTGGGCTGGCACTGTGTTCTTTTCCAGGATCATTACCATTTATTTAATATTTTCCTCTGGGTCATGACTCCCCTAACTGTGCCAAGTGACACTCCCCCGCCCAATGCATTATAGCCGAACATTACTGCTAATGTGGAAGTTCTCTTTAGCTTTGGAGTCCCTCAAATCAAAACCAAATATGTGGACTCATTGGATGAGAAGTTGACCTTTGAAAACATTAATGATATTTTGAAGACACTTGGGAAAATAATTAGTATCAAAAAGAAAATAATCATTTTTGTATGACTCAGTAGAAAGGCACAAGACTTTGTTCACATAATGCAGTTTAAAAGATTCATATTAAAAAGGTCCAGCTAGAAATAATCTTGTAAGATAGCAGTTTCACCTACCTTATTAATGTCAAACTCTTTTTCTACAAAAAGACCATTGGCAACGCTGAGCTCATAATCCTTGTGGGATGCATTTATATCAGACAGAACTTTTTTCAGTTGAAACTGAAGTGTTGGCTGTTTTTTAAAAAGATGTATAAAGTTTATTTTTGGACTGTAAAGATATGCATAATATCATTTACTCATGATATAATACATGTACGTTATACTATAAAACAGTAGAAAAATAATGATGCTATAGAAGCAGCAAATAATGCCATATATATATATATATATATATATATATACACACAATCCTATGCCCTCCCTCATAATAGTGTAGGTGATCAAATTAAATGTTTTACTGAAATAAACAGAATAAAATTATTAACAGAAAACAATAAATTTGTGTACTAAATAACTAATTTTACAAGGTAAGTTGCCAGTGAATAACAAAGGAAAAGGGCATATCTTTTGGTTTTTTGCTATCTTACCACAATCTAGACAAAGCACAAGTAAAATATTTTTAATAATTAAAAACAAATTGTCAAAAATTTCATTTGAAATATCCACAATCACATTTGTTTTAAAAGAATGAGGAAAGATTAAAATATATTCATGAAACAGTAACTTTCCTCAATTTAATCATTCATTCTCTTTTTTAAAAAAGGACTCATTGCCTTTACCTGATTATTAGAAGAGTTTCTGTGTCCCGAGGTGGTATTGAAGTACAGCGTCTGCAAGCAGGACACAAGGAAAATTGTGTCAGAACCAGGAGTTTCTAGGGGAATAGCTGGCAAGAGATTTTATAAATAAAAATATTCCTTTGCCAATACAATAGTCTAATTGCTATTCCAAGTTCACCAGTGTCCTAGAGGTGATTTTCTCCATGACTCCAAGTGAACATCACTGAGCTAAAATGGAGAGAAATGTGTTCTAGTTTTATTTTTTATTACATTTTTCTCCTTTTCCATATCCTGACTCCTCACAGATTCTCCTGGATTTTGGAATTTGTGTTAATTTATATAAATGCTATAGTGACAAGAAAATATGCTCATCTGGCCACACCCAAATAAAGCTGAATTGCAACTTCCTCCTAATGTAACACTGAATAAAATGTATTTGAACAGTTGAACTCAATACTCGATCGATACTCAGTGAAATGCTGCCATAATGCTCACTATCTCAACAAAATAACTCAAAAGACCTGTAGACTATTTTATGACCTATGGAATGCTAAGCCTTTTTTGTTGTTGTTTTATTTTGCTTTTTAAAAAATAAGCTGGCAGATATCATTTTACCATTTGAGTCAAAACAAGTTAGGTCATCAATTCATGGGTTCATTTAAATTTATTTAAATTTTGCCTACTAGATCCCCCCTCCTTCTTCTGTTATGCGTTTTTGTCTTTTAGCAGTTATGGAATCATAGAACCTGTCAAATTTTCCTACCAATTATTATCACTATTTTTATAAAATTTCATTTTATGAAACAACATTAAGTTTTAGTTATATTAGATCAGTCTTAAGATACTATACCATCACCATTCAATCATTTAAAGGTCTTTCTCTTCTTCCCTTCTTCCTGCTTCTTACTTTACAGGATTTTCAACACATAAAGTTTCACTACTTTTCAAAACTAAAAATTATGTGAATACATGTTGTAAGAAATCCAAAAGATTTCTTTTTTTTTCCTTAAATTCTTTTATTAGTACATTTTAGGTATACAATACGTTTACATTTGTCATTGGGTGCTTGTACCTGTACATGATGTATCTTAGTTCTTATTTTTTCCCCATTACACGTGAGCCCTTCCCCCCTCCACCCTTCCCTATTTACATAGACTTTGTTTCCATTTTTTTCTTTTCTCATAATTTTTCCTTTCTCTTCTTTCATTGAGCACAGAAATTTACATTTGGGCAAACATTTTGTCATATTCTTATATTTACACATTGTCTCATACAAAGGCAGTACTAAACAAATTTAGATTCAAGTAGTCATTTGTAGTGACCAAATTTAAAAGCTGCATTTTATTATTAGACATGGTTTTGGTCAAAAAAAGCTAATTTAATCTCATAGAGAATTTTCTCATGATTATTTGTAAATTATAATGGTTCTGAAATGCTTCTTCCCCAAAGTGAACTGTTTTTACTAAATTCCACCATCATTTCTGTTGCCTCCACCTGCCTTCTGGGTCATTGTGATCTTGATTTGAAGTCATATCTCAAAGGCTTCTGACAAAACATGAGGACTTTTCAGGCTTTTTCCCTTCTCTTCAATATAGATTATTTTTACATAGTTTAATAAAATTTAAAATGCTTCAAATTTGGAGACTTATGCTTAAATGTGCTTATTTTGTAAAATTGGCTACGTTCATGATAAAAAATTGGAAAGCCTAATATTTTTTAGTTTTAAAAATTCCTTACTTATGCTATTAGGTTTCAAAACATCATTTTTGTAGTAAGGCATATACTTTTGACCTGTTTTAATTCTTTCAAGTGAATTAATTGTGTTTCAATTTCAGTGATTACACACAGCTTGTGTTCACCTATGGAAGGATTTGAAATTTTGACCTGGAACCTGTAGCAATCACATGCCAGGTACCCCTAGACAATTCTTGTTCCACAGCCCACAAAAATATCAGCATTTTGCATGTGAAAAATCTTTCTTCACCTTTAAATCTATAGATCTGGTAAACTGTCACTGTGAGAGTAAAATACTGAAAGGCATAAGCCATTTCAGTTCACGAGAAAATTTCTATATTATGGTAAAGAAATTATGAAGAAGATGTAAAGTCTTTTCACCTTAAACTTTCATTATATTATGAGAATCTTCTTTCCAACATTTCCATTAAATAAGATAATAATCCACCCCTGACTGCCCAAATCAGAAAGGAAGGACATTATTAGCAACTATCACTTTCAACCATCAAGATACAGGAGAAAGGCCATCACTTCAAAGGAGAGAAGCAGAGACCACTTCATTCCCGCTGAGGTTTTCAGTAAACAAAAAGTTCCACCTGGTCCTCTTAAAATGGAAGCACAGGGAGGTCTACAGGTAACTCTGACTCTACAGACATTCCAAGAAGTGAGATATTTTGGCAGAGAGCTGAGACCCCAATGTGGGTAGTACCTGATATTACCTTAAATGCAAATAAAGAGCATTTAAAGACTTTTTGACTGATGCTGGATTTGTGAATTTTGAAGCTCATAGAATTCTGAATTCATTGCCCTAGAAAAAGATAATTATATCATAATTTGGAGCTTGGCAGGGATAAAAGAAACTTCTTTCCTCTTCTAGCTGAAATAAAACAAAACAAAAAATTCTAAAATTCTGGTACGACTTTGAGGCCAGTTTGGGTTAAACAATAGTTAGAGCCCAGCCTAGATACATAATAAGACTCTCTCAAGAAGACCCCCCAAATTTTTTTTAATATTTGCATCATGACTTCAATGAATCAATAAATTTAAAATTTAATGGCCTGTTGTGTAAAGGTTGTCCTTGTGTAATAGCTTTTGTATTAAAAATGGTTTAATGATTTCCCTACAACCCCATACTTTTCAATTTGGTGACTGAAGGAATTTAAAACTACTTATCCTAGAATTGTTGTTCCAAAATTCCCAAACAACAGCACATTTTGCCTTTTAAATGGAAAAGAGATGAATGTCTCCCTTAGGAAAAGTCCTAAAACAGCATTGTTATGCTCCTTCCAGCATTCATAGCATATGATCTTAGAGCTGGAAATTCCAGCATTAGTAAGAGAAACAAAAGAGAGAAATGTGATATTAAGAATATAACAAAGGCGATGAAGTTTTAAAAAAATAACTTTGTATTCTCAAAATTCTTGTCTTCTTAAAAAGAATGTTATAAAGAAATAATTTGTCAGCCTTCTTTAAATTTATGTAAAGGTTTAATATCCACAATAATAATTTACAGAAACAATTTCTCAAGTCATCTTTAAAAAGACAAGGCTCTGCAATGATGACAAGATTCTGATATCTCAAACAAGACAATTTTAGAAAAGATTGAATTAAAGCCTGGCAAGAACTCCCTGGGCATTTTTTTAAATCACCCAGGTAATTTTTCCAGATACCAGAAAAAGACTCGGGGTAGAGTTGGTGAGACAGGGATTAAAAATCTCTTTCCTAGCCTAGGAAGTTTCATTTTACTGCTCTTCCTTGTTCTTTGGGTTAGAGAATAAACAATGTTGGTCTTTAAATCAAGTCTGAAACATCTAACAATTACAAGAGGCCAAGACCAAGCCAAGGAAGAGGTGTCACAGACATTGACCGTGGTCTTCATCTGTGTGGCCCTTCACAGTAAGTTCAGCAGGAACACAAAGAGAGTGAAGAGGGCAGCCCACTGCACAGTAGATGGCCTGCCATAACCAGACCTTCTGCAGAATGATCTACATGGAAACAATTCCCTGCTACATGGTGTCAGACACCTCACTCAAAGATCACAGTGGGAGCAGCACTGACAGGGGAGTAAAAATGCCTATATCTGGTCATGCTGAGCAAGAAAGGATGGAGTGAACAAAATAAAAGTAAAAAAAAAAGTTGTTGAAGTTATAAGTATGCAAATTACCTTGATCTAATCTTTGTGCAATGTATACATAGATGAAAATATCACATTGTACCCCATACACACAGTTATTTGTCAACCAGAATGTTATTATAAAAATGGTTTTTAAAAATTAAAAAAATAAAAGTAGTCTTGGTGAAATAAAGCAAGGAGTTGAGACTTTGTGGTTGGTGATTGTGTTTATATTTTTGCCTTTAGCATATGTAGCAGGAAACAAAAGTACAGCTGCCCTATTAACTTGGTTAAAACACAGATTGTTCATTGGCAAATGTACCATAAAGTGGAAGGATTAATTCAGTGGCTATAAAATGAAGAGTTTAATAACTTTGGTTTGCCTATCTTGGAGGAGTAATTTAATAATTGCTCAATGATTAAATATGTACAAGTATTAAAAAGAGCAAAATTTAAACAGAAAATTTGGTTTAGTCAAGTGGGTGGCAGGAATAGGCTCAACTAAAAGTGAAAAATAGTCATCCATGATCTAGAAAGTTTTAAAAATGAAGCTCCATCGAGGCTTGCTAGATATAATTTAAGATCCTGCAATCATTTTAAATTAAGTAGGATTAGAATTTTCCTTTTCCAATGTGGCACTCATAACACCTTTTGCTAATAATCACTACTAGGTCCAAGTATTGATTTCCTCTTGCACTTTGTCAAAGTTTTTCTTAGAAACTTATGTCTATGACATCTGAAGCACAAAATAGCTTCTCAACAAGCAAATGATCAAATGTATTGTACATAGGGAATCGGTTACGGGACTTCTGAGGTAAAATTAGCACTTGCTACCCTCCCACCCCTGGCATAAATGGATAGTACCCAGAGGCAGCCATGTATTCATTTTGCTTCTATTCCTTCAACCAATTGTAGGAAAAGTCTAAAAAATTCCTAGGCAAAAGGGGATTTCTTGAATTGATTTCTTGAATTTCAGGGATTCCCTGAAACTCCTGGAATCTTGATGGCATTTTCTGTAAAAAGGTGCAGGTTTGCTTAAAGGTCAAGTATGCTGCATTTGACCACATCTCATCAGATAGGATACACTTAAGATAGAGAGAGCCATTCTGACTCTAGGTTAAGAAATTTGTATGGAAAATTATTTAAAGCAGTTAATGTCATCACCCGTATTCGACAGTACTTTGAATTTCAAGGCTTAAAACCC